TTTGCGCGAAGAGGCGGAAAGGAGGGGAAGGAAAAGGAACTGGTCAGAAATCGTCGTCGGAAAAGACCTGCAGGCCGATGTGCAATGTGTTTTCCTCTAACGGGGGTTCTTCTTTTGCTAGGGTTTTTAGCTTATTATGTTTATGTTACGTGCATTAAATCTACAAAGTAGACGTAGGACAAAGTTAGATAATCTTTTTTTTTTCTTTGTTATTAGTTATTTTTATTGTCGCTTTAATAATTAGACAAAGAAATCGATTATTATTTGGGGCCACAGTTGCCTTATTAATTTTATCTGCATCTCGATTATGATTTATGTTTATTCTTTGTTATAGCGAATTAATTTTGAGTATTTATGTTCGGAAGTTTTAGATGACTCCACTGCTATCGATAATAGAGCCTAGTTGAAGGCGTATGTTTATGAATTCTTAATTTCAAGCTTTGTTCTATCGAAAAATTTTAAATTTAAATCAGTGCCGGGTTTTAAACCGGTTTTGTAACGAGCGGTGATCATATCTTGTGATGCCTCGCTGTGTTTTAAACGAACTTTTTCTTTTACACAAACAATATTTTGCTGAAATTAAACCATACCCGGCCCCCCTGTCCATTAGATTTTGCTTATGTTTTATACTTGGGAATAGTTACTTTGGTGGGTGTTTTCATTCATATATACCGTCTAAACTAACCCTTTTATTAGCACTCATACGCTCTAAATTTCACGTTAGGTCGAGATGTTGTGCAAGTGAGACTCGCTCTTGCGATAAATTCCACGTTAGAAAGATCAAACCACGTCAATCCTACTGTTAATTACGTGAGCTGAGTGTGGCTCTCTTTTATATATGGTGAAAATCTCATTTTAACCGAAGCCCTCTCCTGCTAGTCCTTCATGAACTCATTGTCTATGCTCCGAGATATTTCTTGCTCATTGGAAGGCTACCAATTAAGTACTACTTGCTCCATGGATTGTCTTATTACTTTTAACATGTGCAGCATTGATTCATAACTGCAGGCAACAGAGAGCTCTTCATTAATTATGTCCACCCTCTCAACTCCGAGCCATGGAGTTGTTGTGGATTTAATGTTGTGTGTCCTAATCTCTCAAGTGAAACAGTACATCTCTCGATCCATCCACTTCACCTAGATAGCTTTGAATTTGACCAAGCTAACTTTTTGCGGGTTGGCGGCATATATATGCATGATATCCACTTGTTACTCAGGACGTATGTATGTGGTTAATTCATGAATCTTCAGTGGATAACTTTATGGTAAATTTGTGCATTCTTCGGGATTGATTGGTACGCTTCTATTGTAAACGCAACAAATATTGTGCAACCGAAAAACATGTGTATATATGTTAATTACCAGCACACCTTTTATAAACTTATCTTGTCTTCCTTGTGTTGTGCGCGTCGCGGAAGCGTGACAACCAAACGGGCGTGCTTCGAGAATCAAATCAAACAAACGTCGAGATAAAGGCCAAACAAATCAAAACAACGGCACAAATCCAAACACAATAGTTTTACGTGGTTCGGCAATTGCCTACGTGCACGGGGCAAGAAGGGGATGGGGTTTTCACTAATAGAGAAAGAGTACAAACTGAGATTACAAATCACTCGAATGAACAAACTAATCTCACCAACAAGCTATTAATCTCTCCAAACAAAACCCTAAACAAATAGCTCAGAAAATACCTCTTTTCTGTGCTCCAAATATCTCCAATTTTTCTTCTCCACCAATTTTCTCTTCCAATTGTTCCATATATATAGAAATCCTAAAATCATAAACATACTAGGAATTCTAAACCAAAACCAAATCAAATTAGGAATCCTAATAACCAATTACCAAAATAGATTAGGAATCCTAATAATCTCATGTTACCAAAATAGACTAGGAATCCTAATAACCTCATGTTACCAAAATAGATTAGGAATTCCCTATCCAACAATTCTCCACCTCGGCGAAGTTTTCTCAAAACTGAGTCGACACCGACCAAACCAAATGCTTCATTTGTTGCGTCCAGTACGCCACGGCAACGGACTCATGACAACGGACTTCATCCACACAAGTCGAGACCCAAACGGGAGTGCGAACACTCACCCAAATGTCGATATCTACTCACCAAACCAGCTGCATCAAAACTGACTGCCTACATATCCTCTTGTCCAAGGAATCAAGCCTTCACGTAGTTCACCCAAATGGCCTCCAAAGGCCTCAATCCACTAGAAGAGTTCGCAACCCTTCTCCAATATCACGATCAAGTCTACGGCTGATAGCACCTCCAATGGCTCCAAACTGAACTAATCCAAACATCTCCACCTGAGATGAACCAATGGCCATATCCAGACTACATCCATCAGCTGTACTCGAATAAATCAACCTATATATCATCTTCATCCAAATCAACACGATTCCCAATCTGTGTCACATCAGTTGGAATCCCAAATGATGCAGTATGATCCGGAGTTTCCACCCAACGTGGAGTAGCATCACTCTCCACCCGCTGCGATGTCCCAAAGATCTGATCACCACTCTCCACCTGCTGAGAGTCAAACGTAACATGCCTGCTCAGAACAAAGTCAGAAGCCAATACCTGATAATCAAACACGCCTCTGAATCCCAAATGTGCTATCAGATCAAATCTCACATCCACGATGTGACCGAGTGCTGGGTAGCCAAATATCCGACGTAACCCAAAATCTGAAGCAGCTCCACCAGATCCCATATATATACATGCAGCAGTTGGCAACCTGTACATGAGACGGCTCAAACATGTCGTAGCCTGCACACCAATGCCAATGCTCGACATCAAACGCCGATCCTCCTCCAGAAAGGAACAGCTGACCAAATCTGCCATCTCACCTTGTCGCCTCAAAGTTTCCACACTAATGAAGTGTCTCAAACTGCCATGAGCTCTGCTCCAATGCAGAAATAGGTCCATCTTGTACCTCCCATCAAAATCAGAATGGAGTACCTTCACCTTTCTGTCTATCACACACTTCTTCAATCTGTTAGATACTACTAGGACTTTCTCCAAAAGGGATTTGGTTGCAACCCAAACACGCCTAGAACAGTCACCAACAAAGGAAACCAAACGCCTATTACCTCCCAATGATGCCCCCTTGGAAGGCCCCCAAACATCCACGTGAACTCCTTTAGAACGACCATTAGCACGGTGAATAGAGGTGCCACACTTCACCTCGGTCTTCTTGCTCACATCAACATGTTCACTGGACTTTAAATTGCAGGTCTTTACACCCTCTTTCAATCTATGCGAGGAATCAATACTGGAATGGCCAAGTCCCAAATGCCGCAGTCTAGTCGAATCAACAGAAGTCGCCAGTTCTCCACCTGCCACTATACCTCCAGTCAAGTAATATAGGTTATTCCTCCTGACGCCCTTAATCACAATATCATCAACTCTGCGGTTGATAGCACCTCCAATGGCCTCAAACACCTTCTATCTCGGCCAACTATCTCAAAGCACCAACAAATAAAGAATAGATCCAAACTGATAAAGGAGAGAATTTTACCTCCAAATGAAACCCTAACAAGGGTCTCCAAACGATCTCACCCCGCACGACGGCAACGAGATCCACAAATAGGAAAAATCTCACATTTATCTCCAAACGAAGCCCTCGAAGAGCCTCCAAAGCGATCTACTCCTCCAAATAGCCCAAGCGCCAACAAACCAATGCGGAATAAACGAAGAATAGATCCAAACTAAAAAAGATAGAGTCTTTACCAAAAAGATCCCACCTTTCTCACCAAACGAAGCCCTAGCCGAACTTCCAAATTGATCTACTCCTCCAACCAAGACAAAACCCTAGATCTGAAATCTGGAACTCTGATACCAATTGTTGTGCGCGTCGCGGAAGCGTGACAACCAAACGGGCGTGCTTCGAGAACCAAATCAAACAAACGTCGAGATAAAGGCCAAACAAATCAAAACAACGGCACAAATCCAAACACAATAGTTTTACGTGGTTCGGCAATTGCCTACGTCCACGGGGCAAGAAGGGGATGGGGTTTTCACTAATAGAAAAAGAGTACAAACTGATATTACAAATCACTCGAAGGAACAAACTAATCTCACCAACAATCTCTTAATCTCTCCAAACAAAATCTTAAACAAATAGCTCAGAAAATACCTCTTTTCTGTGCTCCAAATATCCCCAATTTTTCTTCTCCACCAATTAAAATACCTCTTTTCTGTGCTCCAAATATCCCCAATTTTTCTTCTCCACCAATTTTCTCTTCCAATTGTTCCATATATATAGAAATCCTAAAATCATAAACATACTAGGAATTCTAAATCAAAACCAAATCAAATTAGGAATCCTAATAACCTATTACCAAAATAGATTAGGAATCCTAATAATCTCATGTTACCAAAATAGACTAGGAATCCTAATAACCTCATGTTACCAAAATAGATTATGAATTCCCTATCCAACACCTTGTCGCAAAGGTAAGGTTTTTTGCCTTGCGGATTGCATGTTTTGAAAACAACCTCTTTGCACGTCGGGATTAGGATACGTACAACTGATTTTCCTCGGGGCCCGCAACGATGGGAGCTTCAGGAACCGAACCATCCTCTTCTATTTTTAAAATTTATCCTCAAATTAGTCATTATTTTTCAATCCAGAAGTAGTCATTATTTTTCAGGGATGAAGCATCCATTATGGTAACTGGGTCTCAGAATGGATTTGTATAAGTAATTCAGTTTGATGGCAAAGTACAAAATATTTAAACAGGCAAAAGTTGAGTAGTCTTCTCCCTCGGATGGGAGTATCCTCTCTCTGAGTTGGAAAAAAAGCTTTATACTACAGAGCAGGTGATGATCATTTAGCGCAAAGTACGGACACGGTGAATGTAAAAAAAAAAAACAGTTACATTTAATTTCCACCACCAACTCTTTTTTACCATCAATCAATCCTCTTTCATTCTATAACTTCTTTTTTGCCTTTAGCATCAGTTACTACTTGTTATATATATGAAACCTGGTGTCATTTCTACTAAGGTCGACACTAAAACTACTACAACCAAAAACTTTTGCTAAATTTCTTCCATGGCTCTCTCTTGTTCGGTACTAAGAGCTTTCCTCCTAGCTCTGACTCTTGCATCCCTTCATCTCTCAGCATGCAATTTGCTAAAAGGATCAGTCTCTTGCCTTGATTGTCACTTACGCTACGACCTCTCTGGTTCTTTCTCCTGAGTATTTTCTTTTAAATATCATCATTTTACACCCCTTTAGAACAGGAGATTTGTCACTTACTACATCTAGTTGTTTTCATTCTCCGTTATTTGTTTGTACGTATGTATATATGGATAATTTGTTCAACACCTATAAGAGAATAGGAGATAAATATGCAAATACTGAAACACGAGGGAATCCCTCTCCAGCACATTGATGTCACATGAGGTCTTTAGGTAACAGAGAGATAGCTATATTTGGACGACATGGTGTCTAACTACTAATGAAAATTCTTAGTTATAATAGCGCAAATCTCCTATAATAGGAGGGACATATTTACAATTATCAATCGTTTTTCTAATTAAGCTATCAAAAACTATTACAAAATGCTCATGGTTCCCTAACTTTTTTCTCCTGCTCTCTTACTGCAGGAATAACAGTTGCGATTGAGTGTGAGCACAACAAGCTACAAGAGACCACATTAACCAATGACAAGGGTTATTTTGAAGCGAAAATCTCTTCAAGCTCTCCCAATTGCTTTGCTAGACTTGTTGGAGGACCAGAACAACTTTGCTCCTATAAGAAATCTATGGTCAGTAGGATTGTCAAAGCGAAAGGATCAGAGTACACCTACACTTTATCTGCTCCTCTCAGTTTCCTCTCTTCATGTCCCTCGAAGAAGTCCTTGATCGGATCCTCGAAGACCGTTGATCTTCCTCTTCCGAAAGAATGGGGGTTGGCTCCTACAAGCTACTATGTGCCTTTCTTTCCCATTATAGGAATTCCATGAGCATGCCACTTAGTTTAGTGTTCTTTCCTTTTGAATTTGTGATGTGTTTGTAGCAGTAAATTGGTAAGTTGAAAGTAGAACCTTAGTGCTCGTATGGCTGCGCGCTTGAGAGAACGTGCGTGTTAGTGTGCTATGTGATGTTGCTACTAGTTGTTATCTCAGTACTGCCACTGATCAAATGTTGTTTTTTTGTACAAAATCGTGATTAGTTAGTAATATAATGTATGAGATGGTAAGAGTTGCTGTTCTCTATTCTCGTATATATGAATTAAGGGGCTATTTGTCTGACAATAAATGTATTTACAACCGCATGAGTTGCCACCAAATTTTTATTTCTAGTGTTTATTGGTTTGCAACAAGGCTGTTGTAAATGGTAATTGGATTTACCTTTTCTAGGAAAAAATTTACTATATTTATTGCAGCCAACAAATATTGCAAGTCCATGCATTAACTAAATAATAATAATGACGCGTCATCAAGTTAGTGAATTTTAACTCAAAATGTAGACCGTTTTGTATTTGAAAAGAAGCAAACACGTGATTTTCAAGAGAGATGTATTTCTTACGACAAAGAAATACAAAATCTAATGAGTTCTGTGTCTAACCAAACATTAAACTTGTATTTAGAAATACATGTATCATAATAAAAGTGTAAATTAATATCAGAATAAAAGATTTGAGGATAATTTCCTGTAACAAATGTTGCATGCAACATTTACTGCATGCAATATTTGCTGCAATTACAATTGCAATATACCAAACACCCCCGAAGTGATGTTGCTTAGTCCTGCTGCTAGAAATACACATCTAATTAGATTAACCACTTACATAAAGAACTGGTCGTTTGCTATTGAATGAGATTGAGCAAGAACTAAACCAAGAATCAAGGCAGGCCCCAAACTTTGAACATTATCCTGTCCAATTTATGACTCTGGCCCCCTATCATAAAAGCCAATAGTAGCGTCTGATCAGGTTACATTAATTATTTATAAAGCTTCACGAGGATCAGTTTCCACATCATGGTTCTCGTATGGGTACGGGGTACCTCAAACTGTAAATCTAGGCCCACCCATCTGTTAATGGTAGTCCTTTCACATAGCAAGGCATGTTTGCTATATCCACTCTCAAACAGTAACTTTGGGAGTTGGATTGCCGAAAATGCCTTTTTGGACTTGGCCTGGTTTGGTTTGGGAGAAGGGCAATTTAGTCCTCACACACCCCCAATGAAGAAGAAGATGCCCACTATTGCTAGGCCAACTCAAAAGGCTTTATGGGCCAGTTAAATTAATGGCGGCAGAGGGCTGCCAACTATCGTTTACTATTTATGGAACCCTGTTAATAAATGCTCTATTCTCATAAATAAATTAATTAATAAATATATAAATGTTCTGCACTAGTCTAGTTCTGCTCGGAATCATGACCTATTTGGCTGGCTTGCAAATGGGCAGCATGAGGCTGACGCTAATATAATTTGTTAAAACTTAAAAGCTAGCTTTTAGATAGAGGGAACCAAGCCTCTATAAATTTAGGCTGACTTCCTTTATCTATTCCTTTATACAAATAGGAGGATCAGAGATTCACTGTTCATGCTACATTAAATGCTACAGTAATATTTACTGTAGCATAAACACTGTAGTTAATAACTAATTAAAAATATTACTGTAGCACACGGGTATACCGTAACAGTTAAAAGGTACTGTAGCAGAGCGGGATACTGTAGCACTTCCAAAAATTCAAATCATGCAATATTAAAAAAGCGGGATTATTGTAGCAAAAAAAAAAATATCGTGCCTTGCACGGACCGCAAACTAGTTTAGTTAATACTAATACCTTGGTGCATGCGATCCATGCATGACAACAAAATATGAAGACATTTTCCTTAATTTTTGCAAGGTTGAGAGTATTTACATTGATTCTTACAAATGCTAGGACTGCTTTCTTTTTTATTTTCTTTTTTTCTTTTTTGGTTTGCAAGTGTGAGGGCTTTTTTAATAGTCTAAAGTTCAAGGGAGTTTTAAGTATTTTATGAAAAATAGACACAATCATAAGGGTGCTATTTTTAATTTTAATAATCTAGTCTAGATAGAACTCAAGGCCGTAGGAACCATATTGAAACATTCTAACTGTTCAGATTACTTGCGGTGTGTACAAAGAAGGGTTTCTCTTAATGGATAGTAAGGATCTACATATAGATTAGGCTGAACTGTTCAGATTACCTGCGGTGTGTACAAAGAAGGGCTTCTCTTAGGGGTGTTTGTTTAAAAAAAAATTCGCATTTGGGTGAGATTTCAAATTCTAGGATCAAAAAGTGGGTTTTTTTGGGTTTTAGAATTCCATAAAACTTGTTTGTTTCAAAATAAATTTTAGAATATCAAATCCCAAATAATAAAAAGTATTATATTTAAGGATTTGTGAAATCCTCTTTTTTGGGTGGGATGTGGCGTGGATTTCAAAAGGAACAAATTTTGAAAATCGACTTTTTTTTAAATTTAATAGGCAAAATCGACCGTGTAACAATAAAATGAGCAAAATCGACCCTTTTTTGCACGGGACTGCTAGTCCCGTGCAAAAAAGGTCGCTTCTCCAAAAAAAATTCTCCGGTCCTCAACCCCTCTCTCTCTCTCCTTCATTAACCCATCCCTCATCTCCGTTCCCTCTCTCTCTGCAAAAATCTCTCTCCCTCTCCTCCAATCCCACACCAGACCCCCTCTCTCATCTCCGTTCCCTCTGTCCATCTCTCCTCCCTCTCCCTCAAACCCAACAGCAACCCATCACCCCTTCTCTCTCTCCTCCATTCCCCAAACACCAGCCCAACCAACTCTTCCACTTTCACCGCCCAACGCCCCTCCTCCATCGCCATCGGGCCGCCCAAGCCGCGCCCACCTCCTCGACCTACACCCGACCACCTCCCTGAGCCCAAGCTCCGACCCGAGCCCCCCTCTCCCTCCAATCCCCTTCTCCACCGCCTCCTCATCATCTCCACCACCATCAGCCCCGACGCCGCCGTGAGCTCAACTCCACCTCCTCCGCCAGCTCGCCGCCGCCGCTGTCCTCCGTTCCCCTCAGCCCCGACCATGCTACCACCCGCCGCCACGTCGAGCCGCGCCACCACCCAAGCCCTCCCCCGCTGTCCAGTGAAGGTGTCGGTGCTGGTGGTGCAGCAGTGCAGGGGGATTTGGGAGGAGAGTGTTGGGGGGATTTGGGGGAGGAGGGTCGATTTTGATTTTTTTAACAGGATCGTCTTTTTTTTGGTGTGGGATTGGAGGAGAGGGAGAGAGAGATGGAGAGGGGATGGGTTAATGAAGGAGAGAGAGAGAGAGGGAATGAGGGGATGGGTTGAGGACCGGAGAATTTTTTTTGCGGAAGCGACCTTTTTTGCACGGGACTAGCAGTCCCGTGCAAAAAAGGGTCGATTTTGCTCATTTTATTGTTATACGGTCGATTTTGCCTATTAAATTTAAAAAAAAGTCGATTTTCAAAATTTGTCCTTACTTCATATTAGTCCTCCCGCTATTTATTTCTTCTACTTCTAAATAGCTAACTTTCTGTGGGATTAGTTGTTAACTGCGTACGCTGTGAGTTTCATTTCTACCCTCAGTTACTCACGTCTGGGGTTGATTCTAAAGCTGCACGGACATATAACTGAATCATAAGCGAAATTGTGTAACTACGTTGCTTTGAGGTGCGTATGAGGACCAGACCCCTCTCTCATCTCCGTTCCCTCTCTCCATCTCTCCTCCCTCTCCCTCAAACCCAACAGCAACCCATCACCCCTTCTCTCTCTCCTCCATTCCCCAAACACCAGCCCAACCAACTCTTCCACTTCCACCGCCCAACGCCCCTCCTCCATCGCCATCGGGCCGCCCAAGCCGCGCCCACCTCCTCGACCTACACCCGACCACCTCCCTGAGCCCAAGCTCCGACCCGAGCCCCCCTCTCCCTCCAATCCCCTTCTCCACCGCCTCCTCATCATCTCCACCACCATCAGCCCCGACGCCGCCGTGAACTCAACTCCACCCGACCACGCTACCACCCGCCGCCACGTCGAGCCGCGCCACCACCCAAGCCCTCCCCCGCTGTCCAGTGAAGGTGTCGGTGCTGGTGGTGCAGCAGTGCAGGGGGATTTGGGAGGAGAGTGTTGGGGGGATTTGGGGGAGGAGGGTCGATTTTGATTTTTTTAACAGGATCGTCTTTTTTTTGGTGTGGGATTGGAGGAGAGGGAGAGAGAGATGGAGAGGGGATGGGTTAATGAAGGAGAGAGATAGAGGGAATGAGGGGATGAGTTGAGCACCGGAGAATTTTTTTTGCAGAAGCGACCTTTTTTGCACGGGATTAGCAGTCCCGTGCAAAAAAGGGTCGATTTTGCTCATTTTATTGTTACACGGTCGATTTTGCCTATTAAATTTAAAAAAAAGTCGATTTTCAAAATTTGTCCATTTCAAAAGTGTTAGACAAATTAAGGATTTTAAATTCCAGAAAGTTTGAAACAAACAAAAATATTACAAATTATAGTATTCCAATTCCCAAAATATTGTTGAAACAAATAAAGTTTTAGGAATCTCAACCCATAAAAAATTACCTATGGATTTCAAATCCCATGGTGAAATCCATATCCTAAAATTATAAGATTTGAAACAAACACTATATATATATATATATATATATATATGTATTATGCATGTATATATGTATATATATTATATGTATATGTGTATGTATATCTGTGTGTGTAGCAATGATGAGTATGAGGTGACGGCTCATTTTGCTAAGGGGGTGTTTGTTTCATTTTTTTGGGATATGGTGTGCATTTCAAGGTTTGGGATGTAAAAAGAGGTTTTTTGGGGTTTTAGAATTCCATAAAACTTGTTTGTTTCAAAATTAGTTTTAGGATATTAAATCCCCAAATAATAAAAAAATAATATATTTAAGGATTTGTAAAATCCTCTTTTTCATGTGGGATGTTGGGTGGATTTCAAAAGCTTTATATAAATTATGGATTTCAAATTCCAAAAAGTTTAAAACAAACAAAAATATTATAAATTATAGTATTCCAAATCCCAAAATATTGTTGAAACAAATAAAGTTTTAGGAATCCTAACCCATAACAAATTACCTATGGATTTCAAATCCCATGGTGAAATCCATATCCTAAAATTATAAGATTTGAAACAAACACCCCGTTAATGGATAGTAAGGATCTACAGATAGATTAGACTGAACGGATCCTAAAAATCTGCTAAATATTTTGAAAACAATGAGCCCTTGTCAGTGTAGTATTAGTGCCATAGTTGCCTGATCAAAACTTAAAAAAACTTTCGTTGTTTACGTGCTTTACGGCCCGGTCCACATAGCATTTCTGCAATCAAAAACCTTTACGCAACTAATACGCCCAATTATCTTGGACAGGCCTTGGGCTAGCAGGCCTATTGCACCTTTTACTAAGGTCAGTCATTAAATACAGCGGTTGAAGCGTTAACATCAACATCACTTATTCAGTAAAATATCGCAAGTAGAATCTTATGGTGAACTTGCCTCCTAAAAAGAACGCAAAATTTATGAACATTTAACTGTCAAGAAGAAGAATAATTACGTAAAATATTAGAATTACTTATAGCTGCAACCTTCTTATTATAGAGATTAACCACGAATTATCGTTAAATTTTTTTTTATTATATGCAATAAGGCTCATTGATCAGAGTTATCTCTTTATTAGGTATATGTCACTGGAGTAGAGGATGTATAGGAAGCGTCTACCAACTATAAGAGAATAATAGGACTTTTTGTAACATACAAAAATATCAGAAATATTTTCTGTCATTTATCAACGTCATGCAATGCTTATCGGTGTTCTTTATATATTTAATCTTTTATTAAATAATTTATCTTAATCAAGTCTGTACGCAACCTAGACCTTGACCCATAATGTGTTTGGGACCGAGCAGCTGATCCTCTCCATTGATCGCCGTACGATCAGCCGTACAAAATCCATGCGCGACGTAAATCGAAAAAGACGTTAGATCGACAAAACAGCAAACAGCAATCTCATCGAATCTTTTGCTTGACGAGAAGCAACCTCGGGTCCTCAGCAAATCGACAAAAAGAAGCAAGCGGCAGCGCACTTGCCACGTAGGATAGACAGTTCAATTCGATCACCTCCGCGAATCTCCATGACGTCACTTTCCACGTGGCGCCATCTGGACTCGCACCATCCGCCGACATAGCCGAGGCCTCTTCCGCTATTCCCGACCGTCGGATCTAGATCTAACGGGTAGGATATTAGCTATGATAATTTTGGTAATCAAGTTGAGTAGAAAACAAATGACCGTCTACGCGTGGATTACACGGTTTTGGCGCACACGTGGCATCCACCTTCTTCATCCTTATCCAAAACGTGCAAGTTGGAAAATATAGTATTTTATCTGCTACCTCTTTTTTTCTCCAATTATGCACCCTCGGAACAGTTTTAGTTCAATGGATACCAATGGATCTGGTAAACCTATTTGTAAATCCAGCTACCCATTACTTAAATTGAAAATTTCAAATTAAGTTTTCTTATTTTCTGTAAATTGTTCAATTGAAATTTGAGATAAATCAACACATTTTTGCGACAACCTCTGAAGAAAAGATAACCAAAGAAAATGATATTAAGAGTAACCTTTGAATAAAGGAAATACATCTTAAATTTTAATAATAAGGTTTTAATTTAGTGCATAGAGACCTACTACTATAACTCCATATTAAAGCCTGTGATAAAAAAGCTAACTGGATTTTCAGTAATTTCTAATTATGTATTAATCTATTAGAAAGGATTAATTACAACCCGGTGTCCTAAGTGTTGATGGTTAATATGATCACACACTCAGTAGGATCCAAGCTAGGATCTGTTTATTATATATTGAAGAGGGCTCGCTTTCTTCTCTGACTTTATGTCTAGTTTTTTGAGTTAGGTATCTAAAGAATCTGCATGAATAGAAAATACATAAGAGGATGGGGTTTGGTTCCCACTATTGTACCTCTGATGATCAAGTTAGCTGACGAATTGAGTGGGGTAAAGGAAAACTGTATGTTCTTGTAATTATGCAGTATGTGCGTTCGAGGATCAGATTTGTGAACACCCTAAATGTTAGAATAATACATGTATTTATACTTAGGTGGCAATGGCAAATTGGTCACTTCGACCGAGAGCAAGAGGGTGGTGGCGAAGTGTGGGCTGGCGGCCACGTCGGCACTTACTTTACAGGTGTCGATCAGCGAGTGGAGGGAAGGTCGCTTCAGCATTAAATGAGAAAAGATTGGCGGCATTGCAAGGTCCACGTGGTCCGATGAGTCATGAAGACCATTTGAGCTAGAGCCATGATGGCGTCTGTCCTATATTAAATGCGATGTTGACACGTTATCATAAAAATAGGGGCTCAAGACTAAAATAGTTCTCTAGCTTCGCTGAGAAGTAACGCCCTTTAAGCTGACTTTGTAACCGCCTTACAAGTGGACGAGTGGACTCGCGGCGAGTTTGTCAATAGAAGGAGGTCGACTAGCACCGTCTTTCGTGTCGACTAACACCGCCTTTCGAGTCGACACTGAGGGGCGTCGTCTCGTCTTGTCAGCTGAGTTGTCGGCCTTGATTGTCTTTGGTCGTTAAGGAAACTGTAGTGTAACGTGTCGAAGTAGACTTGTCAACTACTTGAGTGTAAATTATATTTTGACGAAAATGGGAACACCATGACACCAAGTTATGAGGGTAATTACACGGATGACTCTGAAATATGCATATCTACGTGAACAACCGCCAATTGTATTTACACCAATAACATTAAGAGTTCCTTACTGTCTGGAATCCAGGGTTAACATTGTAGTTAAGTATGTAACCTCAGAATTACTTGTGTAGTAATTACATCATACCTCCACATACCTGATTGTAATTAATCGTATAAGAAAACTTCCTGCTTCCGGATCCTACTTTGGGTTAACGGGTTATCAGGGCCACCTTTGCTTTCGAACATTCCGACCAATAGACTTACGTCACGTGTACAGACTACGATTAATTACCTTCATCAAGAGGTCTAGCTGACCAAGAGTCCTACTGGCGACCAAACTTCAAAATCCTTGAAATATCCCAACCCCCACCACGAAACCAGGTCATCATCATCAGATCGGCAAAAATCCCCATCAACAAGAAATTATTGCCCCGCCCCCCCTCGACCTCATCCAAAATTTTATCCCATCCCTATAAAATTTTCACAATGGAACCCCAGCTTACTCGGACGTGGACGAGGTCCGAGGACAAGGTGTTTGAGAACTCCCTGGTGCGGTACCCCGAGGGCACGCCGAACAGGTGGTGCCTTATAGCTCTCCAGGTCCCGGGCAAGAGCCCGGACGATGTGCGAGTTCATTACCAGGCGCTGGTGCAGGATATCGAGGCGATTGACTGCGGGGCAGTGGAACTACCGGAGTATGAGGATGATGAAGATGATGATGGGTTTAGCCCGAGGATAGCGTTTGGGTCGAAGACGAAGAGGGAGGAGAGGAAGCGGGGGACGCCGTGGACGGAGGATGAGCACATGTAAGTAAGTTTTGGTAAATTTATTTGATTGCTTTCAGATATTTTCAGAGACTAATCGAGATTCTTTAATTCCATGTAAAGAGGATAATTCTTTTAATTTATTTATTTTTAATGAGATTCAAACCCACTAATTAACAATCTTTAGTACTTTTGACATCACCAAGGTACAATCATATTGCAATATAGAGGTTTGATTGGACGTCGTAGCGAACACTAAAATTTGTTGCAAAAGCAAAATAGAGTAGAAATAAAAGAGTTATCTTTAAAATTGAGGCTAAATAGCACTTAATTACCTTGTAATTTCTCTCAGTTTGCACTTATATATCCACACCTATTTTTTATGGCATTTATGTGCCGTACCTTCAGTTATTCAAACAAGAAAATTTTGACCAGCATATTCTCGTGTGTCAATTAAAATCATTTGGCATATGAATGTCATATGGAAACATTCAAGTGAAATTTTTTCGCATTTGCATAATACAAGGTACTAGTGTGTTAATTTTAAACAACTTATTAGGGTGTATATAAATGCCAAAAAAAATGGCACTACATAAGTGCAAAGTGGGTTAAACTATAAGACCCCCTTTAGCAAAGGCTTAAATAAGGGGTTAAGGAGAGTTAAACCCTCGACAAACATAGAAAGTTTACACAACTTGTAAACTAAGTTAACCTCTAAGTTAACCCCTTATAATTTGCCAAACACAAAAAATAGTAGAAGAGTCTATAAATCCCTCAAGATGGTTAAAATTAGTTAACCCCTCAAAACTACAAATCCACCTATTTAGAAGGAATAAGAGATATCCCTTCTATTTATAAAGAAAATGGTTATAATCCTTTTTATTCTCAAACAAAAAAAAGACTATAAAAATTAAAATAAACTAACCTAATGGACCAAAAATTTTAACTCTTTAGATTAACAAATTGACTAACTATTTTAACTATTTGCCAAATGGGCTGAGGTATTTAAAAGCTACTAGTTGAGATGCATGTGCAATGCACGTGGTTAAATATCATGATTATTTAAATTAATAAAAATAGAATAAAAATAAAAAAAATAAAGTTTTTTGTGGGATTGATTATCAACTCAATAATCTCTCTCAATTGAAATATCGTCATTGTTTCTTTCAACCCAGACTGTGATCACATGATCTACTATTTGTGAGTTATAAACACATTAATCTAGTACAACATCTCTGTTTATTAGTATCTTGAAGTCTTCAAAAGATGGGTGATCATTCAATTCATAAAGGAATTTTTTATATGAATTTATTTGTAATATGTCCATTAAAGTTTTAGTTGTAGTTTGACTCATATTCACATTAACTTTTAGTTATGGTTTCACTCATATTTATATTATCTAATATTCTCATTCAATTTTATAGTATATTTTTTATATCATAGAAGTAAAACTGAAAGTATGAAGAATTATTTTCTTGAGAAATTAGAGTATGTAGATTGTGATATATTTCGCCATGTGTTCTAAATATAATTTTTTTTTCTTTGATGCAAGGTCCCTATCAAATCATATCGTAAACGATGTGAATAAAAATGCTATTATAACTCACTTGCCTAGGGCAATTGTATTATATATATGCGTATAACTCATTTGGAATATTCACATCTGCTAAGGGGATTTTGCTGTTGTAAGAGTAACATGTTAGAGGTTCGTATTCAAACTTTTTGACTCTATCAAAGGCACAAGAATTTGGAGTGCATAGCTAATATGTCGTATAGAACATATTGGTTCATGAAGGATTTTCCCTAATAACGATATCATTACAACGATATTACTATTTAATATTAAATCAATTTTATTATATAAGATTATATAACCCTTTTAATAAATTATAAAGTATATATATGAAAACCTCAATGCTTATAGCCAATAGTTAGGCTCCACAAAATAGGTTCAGTTTACATTGTAGTTTTCTATTTGTAGTACTGTTGGCAATGCCACTATCTTTCATCTTTATCTATTATTCATGCTTTTCTGATGTAAATTCTCTTTTGCTAATCATTCAATTGGTCATATTTAGTTTATATAATATCAGAGGTTAGAATATTCTCTTCTGTTTAAAAAGTGTTGACATGATTTTCTTAAAAAATATATAAACATAGTAGCAATAGTATATACTTCAGTTCAACTCAAACATTAGCTTGAAGTCATTTAAGATGAGGTCTTTTCTATGCTAGAATGATGATGTAGTGATTACACAATTCAAAAGTCAAAGAAAAAATTTCTACAAAGGAAACATAATTTAATACATCAAATTAACAACTAAATTATAAAATCTACAATGGCAGTGCAAATAGATATACAAAGTAAGGTATATAACTTCATGAAAATTTCATTGTGAGTGACCAACTACAATCATCCTAATTTAAGCATAAATAATGATTATCTTAGTTACTAATTTGATACACTTAACTATAGAATAAATCTCAAGCAAAAAATATGAATTGAAATTGTATTAAATTTAAAAAGTAATAATTTAAGTTATTAAGCGCCAAATATTAGTTCATGTAAGAAAGTAAAGTAATCTATGGTATATATACCTATATAATCAATCAATCAAATGTATTATAATTATGATGATTACAGTCAAAATTATATGATAGATTCACATTAAATATAATTTATAAAAAATAGTACATTAGAGTCAAAATCCTTTTAACCACTATGTAGATTGTTTGAAAATTTTTGTATATATTGTTTGCAAACATATATAAATTACACTGCTTAGGAACAGTGATGTGTTGTACACTTAACTATGGCCTAATAATCTTAAGAATAACTTACTCTTCAATATCATCATTAATTGACGTACCTATGCATTACACTAAAAACACAATGAAAATTTAGATAACTACAAAAGAAATACCCTCAAAATTTTTAAAAATTGTAAAAAAAAACACCCTAAATTTTTATAATTTACAAATACACAAAACTATTAAACATTACATTGAAATTAAGGAATTACAAAAAGTCATTAAAAATTTTCAAACTTTGGAGGGGTAATTTGTAATGTGCTAAACTTTAAGGGTGTTTTTTTGTAAATTTTAAATTTAATGGATTTTCAATCATTTATATTCTTTTCAAAAAGTTATGGGAAATATTGACTATGAAAGGTTTTCCTAAACCTATACTTTTAAAGTGAGTATAATATTTTTTGTAAAATTTTAATTTTTTAGGGATTGTTAGTAATTTTGTATATTCAATTTAGTGTCTATAGGTTAGAAATTCTCATGGTGTTTTTTTTATAAATTATGAATTTTAGGGGTTTTATGTAATTTTTTAAATTTGTAAATCTTTTCTATAGATTGTAAATTTTTTATAGACTATTTATAATTCCTATGCTTTCAAGTTACTAATGAGTTTGAAATTCTTTGGGTGTTATTTGTGAATTTTGAATTTTAAGGTTTTGTTTGTAATTTTTGAACCTTTAAGAATGTTTTCTATAAATTATAAATTATGTAGGGGATATTTGTAATTTTTATATTTTTAATGTACTATTAGGTTAGAAATTATCAGGATTTAAATTTTATGATTCTGCGTATTTTATTTTACAATTTGTAAAAAATTTAGAGTGTTTATTATAAATTTTATAAATTTTTGGGGGTTGTTTGTGTTATTTGAAGGTTTTTAAGTGTGTTTATAGGTTTGAAATTTTCAATGTGATTTTTAAATTTTGAATTTTTAGGGGTGTTTTTGTAATTTTTAAAACTTACAAGATATTTTTTTCAAAGTCAAAAAACTTTTTGTTTCTAGCTAGCAAATGTTTTTCAGATTTCTCACTGAATTGAAATAAGTAAAATTTTTAATTTTTAAGATGTTTTAATAAAATTTTAAAATTTTAGGGTGTGTTTTCAATTTAAAAAAACTTGGAGGATATTTTTTTAAAAGTTTAAAAAATTTTAGGCGTTGGCTAGCATATATTTTTTAGATTTATCTATGGATTGAAATATGTAAAGGATTTGAATTATATCAAACGTATTTTCTTTATCCAATAACATGTTAAATCTCATTATGAATATGATAAATTATTTAGTTACTAATTCAAAGAAGATATGATAATTAGAATAGATTAGGATAACAATATAATATTTAAAAAAAAGTTAAGAATAATATTGATCATGAAAAGATTTTTCCAAACTCGTACTTTTAAAGAGAGTATGATATGATATGATATGATTTAGTCTTAAATTGAAGAGTGATTTCAATATCACTAGTTAGAACTACATAACAAAAACCACTTCTAACAGAACACGCCCTCAGTGGTGACGTTTCATTCAAACTATCTATACTAAAAAAGGAAAAGAAAAGCTACCCACATCAATCGGCTCAACAGTAATGAAGTTGATCAAAATATTTGATATTGTTTCTTATTAAATTTTGTTTCAGACGATTTTTGGAGGGGTTGAAGAGGTACGGAAAGGGAGATTGGAGGAACATAGCAAGATGGTCGGTGAGGACTCGGACTGCAACTCAAGTGGCAAGCCACGCTCAAAAGTATTTTCTCCGCCAACAAAAGAGTGGAAAAAATAAAGAGTCCAAAAGAAAAAGTATACATGATATCACTGAAGATAGTATAGATGAAATTACCGAGCCTAAATCTATACACCCCTGTGATCCTATGTAAATGAATGATTATTGGGGAAAAAAAAGGAAAAACACTAGAGTTTGATGCAATGGTTGATAATAGTGTAGAAAGGGCGACAACTAGATTGGGGTTGGAGTATATAGACCATGAAAGTCGCAAGTTTTTGGTGTATTATGAGAGTTATGTAAACGAGAATGTGGAGATATGCTTCTCACCTGTAGATTCAATGGTTTGCATGGGCATGCAACGTACATACTACTGCCTTCGTGTATTTTACGGAAGAGGTTGTTAATGGGAAGCAAATGTAATTTATAATTTTTCTTTATGCGTGTATCCGTCCGATCTCTGTCTATTTCCACTTTCCAAGCTATCCAAAGATAATGATTTAGTGGGTAGTTTTCCAAATGTAGAGATTTGAGGGGTGATTTTGCAAATATGGATTTAAAGGTTATATGTACAAATAGTCCAAAAGAATATTGCTCAACTATATATCGCCGATTTTGTACTACACTTCTTCTGTGGATCTATTTTAGGGTTTGTATAATGAAAATCACCTTAATTTTGTTCAAATTGTGACTTATCAGCTTGGTGTTTTTTTTTATAGAAACCACCTACATATCATGTTCTCAATGTCACACATTTTTCATTATTCAACCCAAATTAAAAAATATATATATAGAAATGATCAACATTGAAAATGTGTTAGCAAATATAGGTGGTTTCTAAATAAAAAAATAAGGTGTTAAATTGCAATTTGGATAAAAAAATAGTTCCCATGTAAAATCTCTTTTTTTTCCCTTCACTTAACTTAAGTTATTGTATCTTTCGTTAGAGCTTTAGTTTCACAAAAAGAAAGAAGGCAATAAAGCCAACAAATCGGGAAAGAGAAAATGCAGCACTGAATGTATTTGGAAGTGATTAATCTTTTGAGACAGACAAACACAAGTATTGGCTTGAAATGTGAAAGATACCTTTGATTGTCAACGAACAAATTATCAACCATTTTATTTATTTGTTTATTTACTTTTTGCCAGACTCCTTTGCGGGTTGGGGATGGACGTTCATCATGTATGCAGAAATCAAATCCCTCACTTCTTTAATCATCATGATTGTTGATATTTAATGTTCATTAATTAATCATCTGCTGTTCTAGGTCAAGTATATGGTTTCAATAGGAGAGAATCTAATTTCATCAAATAAAATTATTTAGGTAACAAACTTGAATCATAATAGACCAAATTCCTCCGAGTTGCAAGACTTTGGATGAAAATAGACTTATTGGATATTTCTCATTGCCCAAGGAATTAATCGGAGAGGCAACATATCAAACTGGTATTTAACAAATTTAACTCAAGCTCACAAACTGAAAATTTTTAAAACTAAGATTAAAACTAAATTGCATCCCCAACAAAGTCGTTGTTGTACAGTGTCGCAACTCTTCTGAAATACTAGCACAGCAGAAACACCTCACGCTCTGGAATTTTACCTCTCCAATCTTTTACATTCCCTATATATGTAATAACCAGCTCTAATTAAAGCCAGGAGTTCTGCTTAAAAACCCCAGATGGAGAGAAACAAAAATTTCAGCAACTGGCGCCCTCCTCGTCCTCCTGCGACTTGGAGTAGATCAGAGAATAAGAAATTTGTGAATGCTTTGGCGATCTATGGCATTGAAAATCCGGAAATATGGAAAATAATAGCTGCAACTCTTCCTGGAAAAAGTCCGAGAGATATTGAGGAACATTACGAAACACTGGTTCATGATATCACGAGGATAGAAATGGGCCGGATCAAATTGCCAGAGTACAAAAATGACTTCGAAGGAGATTGTGATCATGATGGTGATGGACTCATTGATGAGACTGCTGGAGGATTGAGAGAGACAGCTGATGTTCATGAGAACGGGATTCTTGACGTCGGAATTTCTGATGTTCACGAGACTGCTGAAACATTGAGGGATATACCTTCATATAATCAAGTTTCTGATGTTCACGAGAATGGAATTCTTGAAGTCGGAGCTAATGTTGTTCGTGAGAACGATATTCCTGATGTTAGAGCTTCTGATCTTCATAAGAAGGGGATGTCTGAAGTTGGAGTTTCTGATATTGATGAGAACGTGTTTCTTGAAGTTGGAGTTTCTGATGTTCATGAGAACAGGTTTCTTGAAGTTTCTGATGTTCATGAAAACGGGTTTCTTGAATTTTCTAATCTTCATGAGAACAGGTTTCTTGAAGTTGGAGTTTCTGATGTTCATGAGAACGGGTCTCTTCAAGTCATGCTTACTGATGATGTCCATAACAACGGGTTTCTTGAAGCCAGAACTGCTGATGATGTTCATAACAACGGGTTTCTTGAAGCCAGAGCTTCTAATGACGTTCATGAGAATGGTTTTCTCGATGTTGGGGTTTCTGATGTTCATGAGAACGAATCTCTTCAAGTCATGCTTACTGATGATGTTCATAACAGCGGGTTTGTTGAAGCCAGAGCTTCTGATGATGTTCATGAGAATGACTTTCTCAAAGTTGGAGTTTCTGATGTTCATGAGAACGGGTCTCTTCAAGTCATGCTCACTGATGATGTTCATAACAATGGGTTTCTTGAAGCCAGAGCTTCTGATGATGTTCATGGGAACGGCTTTCTTGAAGTCATAGCTTCTAATGGTCATGAGAACGACTTTCTTGAAGTTTCTGATGTGCATTGTAACAGATCTCTCGAAATCGGAGTTTCTGATGTTCTTGGAGTTGAAGTTTCTCATGTTCATGAGAAAGGGAATCCTGAACTTGGAGCAAGATTGAGGAAGAGGGGGAGGTCTTGGACAGAAGAGGAGCACAGGTAAGTTAACAATTTTCATATTATAAATTTTAGAATTATTGTTAGGAGACCTCTTCACGGTTTGATCAGATATTAGGGAATCATGAACACCCTGAATGTATATTATGCTTAGTTTATTGTTAGTTTATGGGAGATCTCCAAGGAAATTTCTTTTGGCGAACAGAGAGGTTTATTAGATCCAGATGAGAGAGGGAAAATGCTGTTAACAGGAAGAAGAAAGAAAAATCACGAGCATTACAAACCTTAACAGTCAAAGGGTGATGTATGATTAGAAAATAATATCCAGGGTTTCCTAATGTTTGTCTAAACTGTGAGGTAGTTTCATAATAAATTGATAATTTCCCTATATTTTTTGTGTTTGGTCTCCTGTTATAGTGTTCTTCATACTGAGGTTGGTTTGGCCCTTGACTTTCTTAGAAATTCTTTGTGTATTTGAAACCGCTAATTTGTGGCATGTCGTTTGTTTTCCCCTTTTGCTCTTTTTTGACATTATGATAAAATTAACAAACAATAAAGGGTTTGAATTTTCTCTACTGCTAAAAAGAGTGGAAAGGCCATTATTTCTTATTCTAACTATTGATTATTGAATGAACAGTTGTGATTCATTCTAAATCTAACACTTCACATCATCTTATGAATTGCATTCATTCCTAGTAGACCAACCACAATCATTTATTAAGCAATCGACAATTGGAATTAAACATAATGATCTCTCTATTATTTTTTATATGGGAGAAGATCCAAATCCTACAGTAAATCAGAATTTTACAATATCACTACTCATTTGATGGTTTGTATCTATATTGCTACGTTTGAAACTTATAATAACTTTATGTACCTTATAGTTTTTCTTTCTTTTTATTTTACTTTTGAAGGAATTTTTTAATCCTTCTGAATTTTTCTTCAGGAATTTTTTAATGGGACTAGACCATGAGAGACGAGGAGATTGGAAAACCATATCAAGATTATACATCCCATCAAAAACACCGGCACAGATATCAAGCCATGCACAAAAGTATTTCAAGAGGCAAAAGGTTGTAGAAAGTGGGAACGCAAGAAGAAAGAGCATTCATGATATTACTAAAATGGAATAATAAGAACCATATTTTTTTAGGTGAGTTTTTCTTTTAACACAACAATGCTTAGGTTTTGTGAAAGCTTCTTAGATTTTATCAAACTGCAAGGACTATACACCAGCGTTTGGGTGGTCCATGGTGAGAACTTCTTGTGTGTCAAAGATCTACTCGGACAAATTTAATGTGCTTTCCGTTTCTAGATCGATGTAGTTTATTTTATTTGCTTTTTAGTGGACTTTTGATGGGTAATGTTGATCCTTGTCGTCTAGAGTAGGGGTGGAAATGAACCAAATAATTAATAAATGGTTCGATAATTGTTTGAATAACTATTCAGTCATATTCGATTCGGTAGTTCATTTACCACTACACAAATATTTTTTATTATTTGAGTTTATTAACGAATATAATTTAACCAGATATATATTCGATTCGTTTGTCTATTAACTATTCATTTAAAATTTGATCGCAGCTTATTATTTGTATTATTGCACATATGATGTCATACTTTTAACTCACTTATCATTTATGTTTAAGTTTTATATATTGATTTTAAGGCTTAAATAATCTTAAATCTGTTTTCTAATTAAATTTTTGATTTAAATATAATATATACATCATATATTATAAAGGAATAATTTTTATTTATGAATTTTAATACTATTTGAAAATCAAATTCTTTAGTGGAATAAATATACTTTGATATTCTATAAATATTCGTGAATATTCATAAATATTTATCAAATACCAAGTATTCGAGTTCGAATTCAAAAAACTAGATATATGAATATTAGAGTCTGCATTCGAATTCGATAATTTTAAACAAATATAAATATGAACACCTTAATATTCGATTTGATTCGATCATTTACCACCCCTGCTCTGGAGAAATTCTTCTCTTGCTCAACACATTCTTTAGAACTTATCTCCAGAATTCTTTTGGATAAATTATCGAAACAATTGCCAACAAGTGTGTAGGAATTATAGGAAAAAACCCTTGATCTTTTAAAGTGGCACTTTCTCTCCTTTATTTTGCATTTCTACTTAATTAATAATCAACTATTTCAATATAGTGATCAATTTTAAACTTAATAACCATACAAATGAAGATATCCAAGTACACACAATTCTCATATCCTATAATCATAATTTTTGCACCCAAATTTACTAGGTATAAACATTGAATGAAGCAATGAAATTGTGAAGTTTGAAATCTCACAGGGGTCTCTATGAATCTTCAGGACATTGTACGACTGTTGGTAGAAAATTCATTCTGCAATTCTCTCATCCAATTTCCTCGTATAAGAAGGAACAAAACAGCGTCATGTGAGATCAGTTAGTATTATAACTATATTTGGTGCGAATACAAAGTAGATTTAAGTAACTATATTTGTTTTGGCAAATATGGATCTCAATATCAATAATGTTGTATAATGTAGATCAGCATTAGCGGTTGGATATTGATGAATAAAATTTATTAAGAAAATTTAGGCAGAAATAAATTAAACAAATGTACTGTGAGTTGCGCGCAACTGAATGCTTAACTTACAATTTCATACATGTCTCTGTTATCAGTTTGAATACTTCCGAGATTGTTTGATTATTTCCATCCCTTTGCAAGCTCTCCGAAAGATGGTGTGCTTCCTGTATCAAAGGAAGAGCTCCCTCAAACCCAGATCACAAACCAGAATTCAAATGACACTTGTAAAATATAAACTTGCATGCCGAAGTACAATGTCGATCATTATAGAACCGAAATTGTTTTTACAAACAATTAGGGCTGCTACATAACACGCTAACCAAGCAACTCACAAAGTCTCCTTAAGTGGTAAATATTCTTTTGGAAACAATACGCACTTCTGCTCACAATTTTTTGAACATTATTGAGTCATAAGACTGTTGGAAATATGATTTTTGCAGGAATCATCTTCACACTTCAGTTAAATCTCAAATTTATGGGTGAAAGTACAACCCACCAAAGCTTTAAACAGGTCAAACAATTTGTGGGGTGAAAGTACAACGCACCAAAGCTTTAAACAGGTCAAACAATTTATGGGGTGTGTAGGCAATGACTCTAAATGTAGCTCTAAACAATTGAATGGTTAACAAGAATGAGCAGCTACATTTGTAACCATGTCGTTCCGAGA